GTCGCGTAGTCTCCGGAGAGCCATTCGTAACTTGTTGAGGTCTTAAGTTTTGGTACGAGACAGGGTGGGTTTTGTTCTTCAGGTGTACCGTTGTGTCACACAACGTTGTGCTCTTGGGTCCCCTTGGCTGGCCCAGAAAGGAAGTGCGCATCTGCATGATTCCTCCCCTGCAAATTCAGTAGCTGGAAAAAGCAGCGCTGTTTTGAGGAATCTGGGAAATGCTGGCCAAGCGTTCTGTTGTGAAGCTTCTCAAACTTGAGTAGAAAATGTAGTTTTCCACGGGAAAATAGACCTAATGATTAATATTAACTAGTGGTGGTGGTGCTGCTGCTAATGAATGATGATGCTGTCTGTTCCACAGTCCTTACAATTTATACCTCTTTAAAGAGCCTGAGAGACAGATCCTCAAACTTACCAGCACTGCTTTTTGATGGAGGAAACCACAGCCAGCTGCGTTAGAGCGCAGGCTGCAGTTCATGAGACTGCACAGGCACAAAAGGCTGGGGATGTCATCTCCTACCTGAGCATGGGAAAGTAGCTCATTCATTCTCCTTCTGGAAGTCAATGTTTGTAATTTGACTTACAGGACTGTGTCCCTGGAATATCAAAGGAAAGAATTTCTTCCTCAAAGTAATAATATTAACCTCTTACTTAAACAACGCTGCAAACGGTAGTTCGCGTGGGACAGGGTTTTTTTTTTTTTCCCACTTTTGCAAATTGTCATTTAAATTCCAGCATGATATAAAATACCGCAGTAAGTCAAATATGTGTTTAGGTATCGTCTCTTAGGCTTTATCACTATACAATTGCTTGTACGGGCTATTTGATCTCTGCAGTAACTTATATAAATTGTAATACCTGGTGTGTTTTGAATTCCTAACTATGTGATATTAGAGTTTATTAATTTGAAATTGAGTTCTCACTGTGCCGTGGGGTATGAGAGGTCATTGGAGTGTTTATATTAATGCAGACTTTATGCCTTGCCTTACTTTTCTGCTTGTAAACACTTGCAATGATTGCAATGATTGAACGGTGGTGTCTTGTGCCATACTTTGAAAAGAGTGATTTGACTTGCTTCTGAGAGTCATATCACTTCCCTTTCAAAAGTCAACCACATAACATTGTTTGAATCCAGCAGGCTAGTTCTTGACTAGGATAAATTATATTATTGCCAATAGATATATGGAATATCAAAATTATTTGCATTAAGCTTATACAGGCAATTTAGGTTGGAAGAGGTTTTTCTTTCCTTCCTTTTTAAAGAAGGAAATAATTAACTGAGAAGTGCATATAAGGTCATTTTCTCATTTACTAGCTGTTCTGGAGCGGTCACGATTTTTAATGTTGTAAGACACACCGTGTATTAGAAAGCGTGTGTTCATGTGCACAAAGAGTTTATGTTATTCTTTAAGAGCAGAAAGGAAAAGGGAATATTCATG